CGATGGTTCGATAACACCATCGCGGAGCATCGTCGCCACCTCTTCGTCGATGATAGCTTGCATCGCGGGATTCCTGGGATAATACCGTTGCTTGACGGGAGCGGCGTTTTCTTTGAGCCGTATCGTGTGCTCAGCCAACGCCGTCTTCCCCGAAACGTCGTCAAACAGTGGTAGTTCGCGTTCCAGGAATTCTGCGAGTCTCGCGTCTTCTTCGGAGGTCAAATTCTCGAGGGCGTTTACCGGATAGGACGGGGGAACGTCGTCGTTGCGGAGGTTCTGTACAGCGGTGTGTACACTGACAAGAGCGAGGTCAGTAATACACCGAATGCCAAGTACCACCTCCACGCTCAGGTTCGGGACATGTAGGGCATCCCACGAATACGTCTGGCCCGCGATTTCACCGTCCACCCTGTACCGATCCGAGACACGGCAACTCGCTCCGTTGGCCATGCGTAGGTTGACGTCAGTCTGGTCGGGTACGATGCCGCACGTCCGAAGGTGACGTACGGCGCGATCTCCAATCAGACTGACCGACGAGCCGGTATCAACGAGGGCGCTGAACGTATCACCGGAGATGACCACGTCGACGAAGGGTCGGTCATCTCTGGGGGCGCGTTCGCGGCTGACGGTTCCCGTGAATTCCGTTATGAAGCCGAGCCAGCGATTCCACTCCTCGGAGGTCGTACGGCGTTTCGTTCTACGGGGCTCAGGCGACCTCCCGCAGACTGAACCCGATGTCCGTTTCCCGAGCTGCAGTTGCAACGACGCGTCGAGATGCCTACTCTTTTGCAGCGGTAGCAACGCAGGACCTTGGGCTTCGAACACTCGCGAAACAGATGTCCGGTTTCGTCGCAGTTCCAGCACACGAATTGCCGAGAGCCTGCCGCTCGTTCGTTCGTCGTACCGGGCGATCTGGTCCTCGTAGAGTCCGGCGTCCGCCTCCGCCTGTAGTCGACTCGTAGCGAAGGGTCACGGGGGTTTGACCGCGCAAACGTTGTAGTCTTGCGACCGTCCTCCAAGGGTTTACCAGGTCGAGACCTGGCCGTCACCTCGGATTCCCCTTCATGGTCGTCCGACAAGCGATCAATTGCCGCGCTATTGTAGACCCGGTCGACTTTCCGATCACGAACGTAGGCGGTTTCCGGGATCAGCGACATCGAAGGTGGTGGCGGCGGACGGAAGGTCTGTTGGCAACGTACATACGCCTCGTACCCCTCAGCTCTTTCCAACAACTCCTCCAGAGTACAAAAATCGGTACGACGTAAGACGAGTTTGTACTCCGGGCGCATGTTGCGGTTTATGAGGTCGAGTTTACCCTGCTGCGAGAACGTACCGCTCCTCCGAATCAACGTTGAGAGCGCGACGACGTAGTCACGAATGGATTCGCGCTCGCCTTGTGTCCGTCGCCTTACCTCGTCGTCTAGATCTTGTCGATATAATGGAGGGAGGTATTGATCTTCGAACTGACGTTTGAAATCTTGATACGTCCGCCAGCTACCGCGACAGTTCCGATACCAAAGCAATGCCGGGCCGTGAAGGAGTTCCGGCAAAGCCTTCGTCAGCTCGTCGATATCGATTGAGTAGGCTTCCGCCAACTCCTCCAGACGTTCCAGAAACGAGACCGGGTCCTTCTTGCCGTCAAACCGCAGATTCCACTTGCGGACCCGATTGCACAACGACGGCGTGTCGTCTCCCACTCTCGTCCCACCCCACGGGTTGGGGTTGTCTGGACGTGAGGTTGAGAAGGCGGGTCGTGGTTGTGACGTCACCAGGCCCTGGTTGGATCGCGGCCATTCGTGGGTCCGGTCTTCGAACTCGTGACGAGGGATGTAGGTTCGGTCTTCGTAATCGTGACGCGTCGTCTGGGTTCGTGCCGGTATGATAGGCTGTCGAGGAAGTGTCAGGTCGTGCGACGTCAGGTAAGTAGTTGGCCGTTCTCCGCGACTCTCAAACATCGTGCGGGATTCGCGTTCCGTCGGTAGACCGGAGGGTACGGGGTACGACAGAATGTCTTCCCCGGTCGACGGGATGTAGGCCGGACGCTTTACCAACGCCGCGAGGGCTCGTCGAACGGATTCGGAATCAGCGTTTGGAGAGACTCCGAGCATTTCTCGCACGCTGGCCATCTCCTGGTACGCGGAAGGAGGTGCCAGCCACTGTCGGATTTGCGTATCGTAGGCTGTCGAGGCTGTAGGCCCCGATGCCGCTATCGCCGTCGGGTTCATCGGTTGACCGATGCTTCCCAACGGGTTCTTCCAATAATCACAAAACCGTTTGCGAAGTTCGGCAACGCTACCCTCAGTTTCTAGATGATATTTACTCATCTCGGCTATCAGGAGCTGTTTGCTCAGAGTATGAATCCAGCCGACGCGTGAGTCGTCCAACGGTGATTTCGGGATGCTCTCCATCGTCGAAGGTATTTGGGAGGTCGTCGTCGTGGTCGTGGTCGTCGTTGACGTTTGAATTCCCACCGTGGATATCGTCACGTGGCCGATCGGTAGCGTATCGGGTCGGGCGATGGTCGTCGGGGTACCCGAAGTTGATGATTCCGTATCTCCAGTCATTTCGTCAAAATTTCAAAGTCAAAACCGTGTTTTTCGAGTCCAAATGTTCGGGCGCCAGAGATGTGACGCAAAATTCTAGGGGGGGAATAAACTAGTATTCACCTAAGTCAGGCTAGGCCTACCCTAGAATCGGCCACACTCAAATTTCTTCCCCGGAGTGCTCAGAAGGAGCCGAGAAAAATCCAGGGGTCGATACGAAGTTGTCACGGCTTTGACTGATCAATTTATTTAAATTTAATCGAAGGCTCAGAGCTCTAGAAGCGCTCAGGAAATCCTGCAGACGCCCAGTTGGAGCTATATCATCCCAGCCTTCGTAAAAGTGTTTTGGAGAATTTTGCCTAACTTTTAGGATGACTCTGTAGGGCCGACGAGTATTCAATCTGAAGCCAATGTGATTCAATTGCTCGTAATGAACTTTAAAATATTTAACTAAAGGCCTAGGTAGATAATATGAAATCGAATATAATGTAAAAGCACTCCCTACAGAGACGTCGGAGCCTGATTAATTTAATTGGACGGATAATTTGACGTGAGATGATTTAAAACAAATTTAGTATTAATTTACGTAGCTGATTGTTCAAATCAGCCCGCTCCCGAGACTTGGTTCTTTCACCCGCCAAAGACGGGGTTTAGAACTTAGACGACAAGTCTCGGGGTATTAAAACGTCGAATCGACTAGAATAAATTTAAGTAATAACTAATCGTTAACGAACAGAATAAACGTAATTTCGTAGCAAATTAATTTAAACGAACCGAAAGATATCCACCGCTAGTCACTGGCAGGCAGGAACTGGCGGGTTTTATGCAAGTCGGCGAAAACTAAGTTAATAAAATTTAGAAAATTAAATTTGATTTAAACGGGCAAAAATGAGTGGCAGACGAGTATACGTATATTAAAAGAATAATAAAATGAACGTTAGAAAGTCTAACAACGAAGTTAGCTAACCTGAATCAATAACGTAGAATCGTATGGCGTGATCGTAATTTCGCAAGAGCTTCTCGTGAACAAGTCGACGGTTGAACAGCGAATAATTCTTGTCCGGCTCAAATCCCGATTTCCTCGGCCGCGGCTCAAGCGCTGCGGTGGCGATTTCGGAAACTAGCCAACAGCTGATCGGGGATTCGCCTGTTGAGCCGGTCTAGCTAGTTGTCGTCTGTCGTTGGTCAACAAACACCATTTTGAGGTTAAGTGATGTTGTAATCGGCGTTAAATATTCGTAAAATCGGTCGTTTTAACTTTATTATGTGAAACGGAGTGCTATTATGAATAAATATATCGTTGTGGGTGTGTTTGTGTACTTCACTGTTATTAAAAGTAGGCCTACGTTCTTTGGCCCATAGCCCAAGCTATGGCCAACACATAGGCCTAGGAGTAGGATGTTGTGGATAAAAATCGGGTAAGTTATGGTGTTTGTTGACTACCAATACGTTTTTTACCCCCCTTAAAATTTGGTACCTCACAAACATTAACTTAATAACAGAAGAACAGTTTAGTTTTTATAAATACATTTTTTTTCATTTCAAAATTGTACTACCACCTCAAGATTTATATAAATTGGACACTATTACTGAAGATCTGGTGAGAACTCTCCATTTTGTATAGGCTTAGCCTACCTTCAAGAAATTTAACTTAATAGACCTATTTTATTTACTTTCTGATCATCGAACCTAATTATTTGAACTCAAAAACTACATTATTTCATCAAGAATAATCCCAGAAAATCAATTTGAGAAGAGAACTAAATTCAACTTTAATAAATTTTTCACCTAGTCTATTCATTGTTGGACTTATTTAATTTACTTATCCAAGCCTAAGAGCAATACCAAAATTATCCCATTTTTCATAATAATTGGCATTTTAGGCCTATTTCATAAATTAAAATATTTGAAGATCTCTTTAGCCAGCCGAGTTCCCCTCCCTGAGATTTATGTAATTAAACTAAATTGTAAACTCATTGTTCTGTTTTTACTGAGCTAGGCTAAACCAAAGATGGCAACCCTATAACTTAACTTATCTGTTATCTGTCCATTTACCCCATTCATCATTGTAATATCTTATTTTTAGTTCATTAAATTTGTATTGTTAAGAAATTCTTCAGATTAATCATTTGTCTTGCTATAAGTATTTAATCTAGGCTTAACTTAGCATAATAAATAGTAAGCAAATTAAAGGTATAAACCTAAACCAAATTTTACTAACTTAGTCTAAATTATTACAAACACAACACGCATTAGTGTTTTCTTTTAATGGCGTCCAACGTATTGGCTACAAAAGGTCTTCAAATATCTCGTTATTGCAACTAGCCTAATCTAAGTATATTGAATATAAGCATTTTATGTTAGTAATAAGTTATCCCTCCCTGCAATAAGCGTCCCCAATGATAAATGACAGAGCATAGATATAATTTCCGACGGCCTAGAAAATACCCAAACACAATGAACTCTGATAACCTACACGACATTGCATTCAATAGTTCAGAGGACGAAGGCAACATTAACGCAATGGAACACAACACAAACATTCCACCGGTATTCAATATTACGCAAGAAACCCTCCATGACATAGAAGATATGCAAAACACATTTATTCCACCGAGTACGCATAATCTATACACAATGACGACACAACACGAACACGGCGAAGTGACAGTTACAGACGACGACGGCGGCAGCCATTTTGAAATCAACAACGCCGGCTCCAAATCCATTCAAAAAGAGGTCGTAGTTACTGAAGTAGCCGCTAGTAGCAGCACCACTCGAGAACCTTCCCAAAGTGTAATCAACCCGCTTCATTCATCTTTTAAAGACCGTCAAATGAGTAATGAAAACGTAGTAACGTTAACAGCTGATGTTGATAATGGCGTAAAGGACGATTCCAAAGTTATGCAACAAATTCAAACGGCAAACCCAGACATTACTTGCCTTCTTACAGGACTATTTGAAGAAATAAGAGGAATTGGACAATCCCAGAAAGAAATGAACTCAAAAATTGAAAATTTAACCGAACAACTTGAAAACAAGTTCAATCAACGTTTTCAAGTAACCGAAGGAAAAATAGAGGAATTATTTGAAACTCAATCTCAAATGAATATTAAATTAGATCAGTCAATCAAATTACATCAAAACACGGCAGTAAAAATGCAAAATATTGAACATAAATGCCAAACTGAAAATCAGCGCACCCGGCAAGAATTCATTCATGAAATTGAGACAAGGGTGACAAGTCAAGGTCAAACTTTTGAAAATGCCCTTAAAAATCAATCATCCCAAATAACCAATTATTTTGTAAATAAATTAGATGAACAAGCTAAAAACCTCAAAATACAGATTCAAAATGAAAAACTAATATCGAAAAAAGAAGATGATGAAAAATTGAAAGAATCTATACTAGACCTGGAAAACAAAATTATTCCACAAATCAAACAGAACACTGATTCCCTCAACCAGCAACAAAATGAAATCAGTCGATTAACAGACACAGTAAACCAAATTTCACAACAAAAATTTCAAACAACAATACCACACAATGGAAACATAAATGTTATCTGTCCAAGCAGTGATCCGATTCTTTCCAACCGGACATTACCAAAATTTAATGGGAAAAGTCACAATCCTAATGAATTTTTATTGAAATTGAAACGATACTATGACAGGAGTGCACAGCGCTACCTAAATTCATCTGATGCGGTTGAAAATCTCCGAGAAATTATCGAAGTAAGCCTCGAACATCATGCAGCGAGATGGTTCCAGCTCATCAGGGAAGACATCTACAATTGGGAAAATTTTGCAAATGAATTCCGCCTGAAATATTGGAGCCGTGACGTGCAGCAGTACATCAAGAGAAAAATTGAAACGGAAAGCTACAAATCAAACGGCAGTTTGTCAAGAGCAGATTTTTTTATGGAAAGGGCCATAACGCTTCAATCTATGACCCCACCCATACCAGAAAACGAAATTGTTTTGATCTTGTCTGAATGTTTTGACCAACTGATTAATGACGCAAGAGCTGTACAGAACATCACTACCATCAAGGGATTTATTACGCTGCTAGAACGAGAAGACTTGCGTGATCCTAACCGAAGAACCAGGAACACAAATCCTCAACCTCCTAGAGAACAAGACAATAATCAGTACAGAAATCAACATAGCAGAAGAGACAACAACATCAATCACAACGCCTACCGTCCCAATCATCACCAAAACAATCGTCCACCATATCACCAACAACCTAATCACCATAACAGTAACAGATACCAGGAACAGGGCCAGAACAGATATCAAAGTCAAGAGAACAGACCTCCATACCATCAACCCACCAACAACTATCCACGCGGACAACAAAATCAACCAAATAGATCACCACCACCTAATCATCCCACACAAGAACAAAACCAAGTGTGTAGTATGTTCGGCCAACAACAAAGTCGACAGAACTTATCAACACCCAATTCCCCAAATCACCAGGCTGTGGGGACTTCAAACTTCTAAGCGCTGCAATTCACGGCCGGTGCAGCGAGGAGGACACGTCTCACCTTTCTGCAGAATTCGCAGCGAAAACTTATTTAAACCTCGGACGGCCAAACAATGAAGAAGAAACTAACCAAATTTTAAATAAAGAAATAGAAAAATTTGTAATTTTAAATAACATATATTGTGACCAAGAATTTCTAATGAACAATGAAGAAGAAAATAATAAACAAGAAAATGAACAAAATACATATTCAATCAATTGTCCCGAAATTCCAATACAGATATCCAAATGTTCAACACATGCATTAATCGATAGCGGTGCTAATATCAGTTGCATTTCCGAGAATTTTGTTAAAGAGAACCTTCACTCTATGGGAAAATTTGAACAGTTACCTCTAACTAACACCACAATACGTACAGCTACAGGCTCGAAAACCAAACGTATCACCCATATCTTATACATTCCCATTAATATCAGTGGACAAACCATCAATCTACAGTTTATGCTCGTACCAAATCTTTATAGACCAGTGATTTTAGGATGTGATAGCTTAGAAAGCATGAAGGCGAAGGTGAACTTTGTTAATAATAATATAAAAATGAATATAAATAACCAAGATATTGTAATGAAGTTTGATCGAGTTTCTACTGAAGGAATCACTTGTTTCATTGTTAATAATTACAGCCACAGGCCAGATCCCGATATTAAGGGCATTTATAACAATAAAAATATACATAACGAAGATTTTCATTATGAGCACCAACCGAATAATAATAATAATCAATTGATGGACAGTATAACTGAATTCAAAGTTAAAGAATCTTTAAAAGATAATAAATTATTGAGTGATACACAACGAGCCGAGTTAGGTAACCTGATTCTCAAATACAAACATATTTTCTCTGAAACACCAGGAATTTGCAGATTTTATGAGCATGAATTAAAAGTTTATGACCAAACTACGTTCAAACAAATGTCATATCCAGTACCGCTCGCTTATCAAGATGCAGTCTTCCAAGAGATACAACGTATGGAAAACATGGGCGTTATTGAACGTAGCAAAAGTACCTATATAAACCCCATCATACCTGTTGTCAAAAAGTCAGGTGAAATACGATTGTGCCTAGATGCACGAAGAGCAAACGAGATCATCGTCCCTGATTATGAGTGTAATCAAAGTATCAACGAGATATTAAGCAAATGCCGAAATTCGAAATTTATCAGCAGCTTGGATTTAACATCATCTTATTGGCAAGTTGCTCTCACTCCAGAGTCCCGTCAATATACAGCGTTCCAATTCAAAGGTCGTACATATCATTTCAAGGTCACACCATTTGGCATATCTACATCTCAAGCCGCACTCGTCCGAGCTCTAGATAAAGTGTTTGATAACGAAGTAGAAGAGTTTACTGCAATCTACGTTGACGATATATGCGTTATATCTCCTGATTTCCAATCACATCTCAGGCATTTAGAGTATATTTTTCAAAAGTTTTCTGATGCAAACATGACGCTCAAGTTTGACAAGTCACAGTTTTGTCAAAACTCAGTCCCTTTCCTCGGTTATACATTGACCAATCGAGGTTTGGAAATGGATAAAAGCAAGCTGGAACCAATACTAAACTTCCCAAGCCCTAAGAACCGTACTCAATTGAAGGCATTTTTAGGACTAATCAATTACTATAATAAATTCTTAGAAAAATTCTCCTCTACAGTACAACCTCTGATGCGGCTCACATCAAAGAAAGTGAAATTTGTGTGGACAGAAAATGATGAAGTTACCTTCATGAACATTAAACAGTTATTCCTAAACACTAATGTGCTACATCATCCAAATCCAACACAACCATACTATCTTCAAACAGATGCTTCCGACTTCGCCATTGGAGGACATCTCTACCAGTTAAAACCTAATGGAGAAAAGGCAGCTATCGCCTTCATTTCACGCACACTACAACCTGCTGAACAACGTTTTACAACAACCGAAAAGGAACTTCTCGCCATTGTATACTGCTTACAAAAAGTCCGATATATCGTACTTGGTTCAAAATTAACTATAATTACAGATAATCATGCTCTCACCTTCTTACGGACATGTAAATTGTTAAATAACCGACTAGCACGATGGACTTTAGCTATACAGGAATATAATGCAACAATACAACACTGTAAAGGCGTGGAAAATGCAACAGCAGATGCACTTAGCCGCATAAATGATGACTCACAGCAAAACTCCAATGCCTCTCCTCGAGAATTAGAATTGAATTACCTTGAACAAATCCCAGACAAAGAATTGAAGCAAGACCTCCAGAATCTGCCAGCTCTTCAATCATCTGATCCAGTACTCCAAAACATTTACCAAACTCTGCAAGAATATCCAACCTCCCCAGAATCACAAAGGCTCTCACAGAATTTTAAATTATACAACAATACTCTATACCAAAAATTAAGAAACAATTGGCTTATCGTAGTACCCCAATGTATGATCAATCGCTTAATTTGGGAATGTCATCTCTATTATATGCATTGTGGGTCAAAGAAATGTTTTCAATTGCTAAAAGAAAGTTTCATATTCAAGAACATGAGTCGTATAATTCGAAAAACCCTTGCCTCTTGCGATACATGTCAAAGATGCAAAATCAATACTTCACCTCTATTTGGAACTGCACATGGAGTATCATGTATACAGAAAAACGACCAAATTGCAGTTGATATTATTGGACCGCTACCTACAAGCATAGGAAACGTTAAATACATCCTGATTGTCATCGACATATTTACTAAATTTGTTAAATTATACCCCATGCAACGAGCAACAACCGATATAATCCTCAATAAATTATTCCAACTACATTTTCCTCAATATGGTTACCCAAACCGTATCCAAACTGATAACGGGACACAGTTCAAAAGTTCAAAGTGGATAGAGAAAATGGAAGCCAACAACATTACTCTAATATTCAATCCTGTTTACCATCCCTGTTACAACCTAGCCGAACGACCTATCAGAGAAGTCAAGCGTTGCTTAAGGACATATTGTTCCAAAAAACATAAATCTTGGGCAAAATTCATTCCTGTCATCAATACATTTTTAAATGAAATTTACCATGAAACTACGGGATTCTCACCAAATGAACTGCAGACCGGAAAGAGAGATATTCGATTTTGGGAGAAGTACTGCCCACTTCCACTAAATGCTCCTATTCCATTAGAACGAAAGCTGCTCATAGCATCTAACCGCATCAACAATATACGTCAGAAGAGGGCAGCAAAATTAAATTCATCGCATAAAATATCCACACTACAACTCAATGACAAGGTCTTAGTGAAAAGCCATCATTTATCAAAAGCAATAGACGGAGAAACATCAAAATTATTTGAAATATATGAAGGACCTTTTCTAATAAGCGACATACTCGGATCATCCACGTTCCACATTAGTGATCTCGAAAGAAGAAATATTTATGGACCATATCATATTTCACACCTAAAGAAATATATAGAACCGACACATCAAGATCCCACAAACCAAAATCTACAGAAGACACAGTTACCGCTCAGGCAGAATAGACAATAATCGCGAGTGCGTACCCAAAAAATTCCCTTATAAACTGTGATATTGGACACTAATCGCGAGTGCGTACCCCATCATTCCCATATCTATGCAACTCCCAAATCCCAAGAAGATACAAATGTTATTTTCTATGCTCAGAAACCTATCACCCTTACTCCCCAATTCACTACAATGTAATTATCTTTTGTTTTGTTTTAATTTTCAAATGTTTTTATGTTTTGTTCTCTTTTAAAAACTTGTTTTTCCCTATAGATATAAGTCAACTTCCAAGATAATCAATCATTTAATGTTTATCATTCTAACTTTAAGATGTTTTATTTCATACTTCTGTATCATCATGACATTTCACATTTTATCGAAATTTTTCCTTGAGTTCTCAGATAAAAATTTCTGAGGGGATAATTGCAATGTTACATGTCATTTTTAGACCTTTCACTACATTCATTCTTTAGTTATATAATAATTCTTCTTTTATTGTACCAAAATTCGCCATATAGCCTATTTAAATAAATTGTCAGAAAATTAATAGTAAATTTAAATTATATTATCCTTTAATCACCCCTCAGAAACCATCATCACATTTTAAAATATATTGTATATATTCAACACATATTATTATTAATAACAACCTGTAATTAAGTCCATAGTTGCAATAACACTTTTATCCAAAATTATTAATATAGTATAAATTATTTCTAAAACCCCAACATTAAATTAATATCCAAAAGCCTGAATATTTAGTGCATGTGCAAGTGATAAAGGAAGAAGACAGCTGGCTTCAACAATGAACTCTGATCATCCTGTGTAAAACTAAGATTTTCCTCCTTCTCTATTGGGACATGGCAGCATCAACACCTTAAATTAAGTGAGGGTATAATCCCTAATATTTATAAAGTCAGTGATTAAAATTATTTAACTGAACATTAACTTAATAACAGAAGAACAGTTTAGTTTTTATATATACATTTTTTTTCATTTCAAAATTGTACTGCCACCTCAAGATTTATATAAATTGGACACTATTACTGAAGATCTGGTGAGAACTCTCCATTTTGTATAGGCTTAGCCTACCTTCAAGAAATTTAACTTAATAGACCTATTTTATTTACTTTCTGATCATCGAACCTAATTATTTGAACTCAAAAACTACATTATTTCATCAAGAATAATCCCAGAAAAACAATTTGAGAAGAGAACTAAATTCAACTTTAATAAATTTTTCACCTAGTCTATTCATTGTTGGACTTATTTAATTTACTTATCCAAGCCTAAGAGCAATACCAAAATTATCCCATTTTTCATAATAATTGGCATTTTAGGCCTATTTCATAAATTAAAATATTTGAAGATCTCTTTAGCCAGCCGAGTTCCCCTCCCTGAGATTTATGTAATTAAACTAAATTGTAAACTCATTGTTCTGTTTTTACTGAGCTAGGCTAAACC